CAATCAGCACTCGCCCTATCACAAAATCCTTACACATGACGGGTATGTGTAAAGGACGAGTATGCCCTCTGCCCTCTATTGGGACCTCCTGATCACTGAAGGAGATAAAGTTGTCAATCATGATGTTGTTGATGATTCCGCCGAGCTTATCAGTTGAAATATCGTGATTGACGTGTGCCCGATTTAGGACTTTGAACAGGACTTCTCTGTGAGCCTCCGAGTTCATCAGCAATGATAACAATGATACTTTGGCCGGGGTGCGGCTCAGTTGATCAATCACTTGGTACTCACTTTGTTTTATAAACCGGAGGAACTCACATGCTTCCTCCTCAGAAACTTCTCTCTCCATTTTCTCCGGAAACAGCTCGGTAACCTCTGGCTCTGGTCTATCTTCCGATGTTTGAACAATTTTTTCTTTGCCCTTTGAGGCATTGATGATCTTTTTTGATAAATCGACAGGGCTATAAACCCTGCCACTCCTGGTCATGTTGCCAACCCCAGCTAGGTTCACAACTTCCTCTGTTTGTTTAGATTTCGCCACCGATTTCCCCTGATACTTCCATGGGACGGCCTTGTCAGACTTGTAAGGGAAAGGGCCCAGATGCCTCGTTGCCCCTGACTCTATATATAAACGGGGTACCCATCGGGGCGGAGCGGCATATGAAGGGGTTCCAGCGGGTATGTTCAGTACTGGCACAAACTTCCTCGTGATTATTCTGTCTTGGATCTTCTGGTCTCTTTCCAGGACAAAAATATCAGAACCTTTTACTTTTTTCTCGATCACCAGTAATCGAGAGTCCAACAACCTTTGTACTAAGGCTTTAAACTCAGTACATGTCTCTAAAGTATGGTCTAATATCCCATGCATCAAACATACATCATCTTCATATGCACCCCCTTCCGCCATTTCCATCAAACCTTGCTGGCACAATACCTTGAATATAACTTTCAAGGGAGTCTTCATATCCTCCACTTTCTCTACCACAACCATATCATCGTCCTGCTCTAGAACGTTTATTCCCTGATTCCCGTGGTTGGGTAGAGGGTTGCCTGTGATGGTGGGAACGGTGTCCTTGAACTCTAGCCACTTAGAGTCGATCAAATCTTGGATCCTGTGCTTCAGTGCCCTACAGGTCTCCGTGGAATGCCCGATTATTCCGGAATGGTAATGGCAGTTGGCATTTGGGTCGTACCAAGGTGCTGTGGTATTTGGGGTCTGTCCTGCTATTGGGGCCAATATTCTCTCTGTTTGAAGATGTGCGAACAGTTCAGCATACGTGACCGGGATTGGGTCAAAGGTTCTTTGGGGTTGGAAGGGTCTGGGTTGGTTGCGGTTGAAATTTTGGTATGGACGGGTTTGATAGTTGTTAGGAGGTCTATTTTGTTGGGAAGGGTATTGGTTGGGACGAGGTTGGTTGTAGTGGGGTGTAGGGTTGTGTTGGGTTGGTGGGCGGTTGTGGTTAATGTATGCTATGGGTTGGTATTGTGTTTGGTTGTAGTGAGGACGAGGTGTGTATGGTCGCGGGTTGTGGTTGTTTTTGTTGGGGGGTTTGTGAGATTCTCCAGACACGTAATGGGCTTCCACTTCTTTTTTCTTCGCATAATTGGGTTTTTTAGACTCCACGGTCTGTTCAGCAGCGATTTTCCCAGCTTTTATGCTTTGCTCAATCCGATCTCCGACTTTTATTAAGGAATTGAAGTCGGATGTATTGTTCCCGATCATCTTTTCAAAGAAAGGATTCGGCAGAGTATTGATGAAGCTAGTAATTTGTTCATCTTCCTCTAAACGAGGCAAGACTTGTGATGCTATCCCTCTCCATCTTTGAGCATATTCTTTAAAGGACTCAGCGACCTTCTTTGTCATACCCTGAAGCTCGGCCCGATCCGGCGCCGAGTCTTCGTTGAACTTGTACTGCTTTATGAAAGCGTTGGACAAGTCCAGAAAGGTTCTTATATTCTTGCGCTCGAGGCGGATGTACCACGAAGCGGCAATTCCCACAAGGCTATCTTGGAAGCAGTGAATTAACAGTTTATCATCGTGATGGTATGCCGACATCTTTCGGGCATACATATGGAGGTGACTCTTCGGGCATGTCGTCCCGTCATATTTCTCAAAGTCGGGCACTTTGAACTTCGGGGGAAGCACGACATCTGGGACCAGGCACATCTCAAAGGCATTTTTCAAGTCCGGGCAATTATTCCCTTCTACAGCCTTGAGTCTCGCATTGAGCATGTCCCACATTTCATCATCCTTTTCCTTCTTTTTATTACTGTGGGTTTCCTTTCCTGTCTGTGGGCCTGTAGGTTGTTTGTCATCCTTGGGAAGACGGTAATTCATGTCATCGTTGGGGTTAGTCTCGTCAGTGGGTTGTTCAGTGTTCTCATCATCGGTTTCTTCAGTCTGACTCATGTTGTCATTTTGACCATCATGTTGCTGCTCTTTTGTTTCAGACCCTTTTCCTTTTCCCTCTTTTGTGGTTTGTTTTGAGGAGGAGCCTTGGCGAGGTGGGGGAGTGGTTTTAGCCCCAGCGCTAGTTTTAGAAAAATTTCCAGTGGTATTCTCCTGTTGCATATTTGCGGTTAAAACGTAGAAAACTCTAAGCATGCCCAATTAGGATAATTTGGTCTTTAACTAGAGATTCTGAGCTCGGGAGTCGATTACGGATCGGGGAAGGTATTAGCACCCCGTCCGCCCGTATTAAAACGGTACCCTCGCTAATAACATGGACTTTTATACCCTTAAAATTATTTATTAAAATTCAGTAAAAACAAAATGTTTTTATTTTTTATAGTTGTGCCTGACAAGAATTCAACTTGCTCCTACGTATCCCTAGCTGCAATAGGGAAATCAAGGCTACGTAGTTCTGGTTCGAAAATTAATTGGTTGATTTCGTTGATTTGAAGGTATCGATTTAGTTGAGTGATAGAATAAGTTTTTACTAAAACATTTTTGATATGGAATTAACAGTTTAGAGACGGCACTGGTCGTAGACCTCCTTCCCATTTTCAGAGAATTTAGAGACGACACGGGCCATAACCTTACTATAAAAAATTCCATTTTAAATCATTTGATTAAATTTATTTAACATATTGGATATGGAATTAATAGTTTAGAGACGACACTGGTCGTAGACCTCCTTCTCATTTTCAGAGAATTTAGAGACAACACGGGTCATAACCTTGCTATAAATTCCATTTAAAATTACTTGAATAAACAATGATTTTTTTTTGAAATATTTGATATGGAATTAATAGTTTAGAGACGACACTGGTCGTAGACCTCATTCTCATTTTTATAGAATTCAGAGACAACACGGGTCATCACCTTACTATAAAACTCCATTTAAAAACCTTTGAATAAATGATGATTGTTTTTGAAATATTTGATATGGAATTAATAGTTTAGAGACGACACTGGTCGTAGACCTCATTCTCATTTTTAGAGAATTCAGAGACAACACGGGTCATAACCTTACTATAAAACTCCATTTAAAATTACTTGAATAAATGATGATTGTTTTTGAAATATTTTCTAAATAATATTCGAATGCCTCTTATACCAACCTTGTATCATTATTACTCTAATAAGTTAAGTGACATAAAAACAACAAAAACCAAAAATGACTCTTAAGACAAAAAAAACAAAAAAACAAAGCAATAGTAAATATAAAAATAAAAAGAATAAACGTGGGCCGAAGGCCCATATTGGGGAAAACGAAATTGAGAGGGGGAGGGGTCAGACTTGGCTTCATTTGTGCTTTAGGGATTTTGAGGAGAGAAGTGAGAAGACGGAGGAAGAGAGAGAACCGCGGAGGTGAGAAACGAAAGCGATTCGTCGCGATGAGAAGACGAAGGCGGTTCATCACGGCGGGAAGACGACGGCGGTTCGTCACGGCAGGAAGACGAAGGCGATTTGGTTCTACGGTCTTCTTCTCCGATTATCTTCTCCGTTACAGTGACGCGGTGGTTCCGACGAAGGTAAACCCTTAACCTTCTCTCATTTCAATCTTCTTCGTTACAGTGACGCGGTGGTTCCGACGAAGGTAAACCCTTAACCTTCTCTCATTTCAATCTTCTTCGTTACAGTGACGCGGTGGTTCCGACGAAGGTAAACCCTTTAACCCTCTTTCATTTCAATCTTCTTCGTTACAGTGACGCGGTGGTTCCGACGAAGGTAAACCCTTAACCCTCTTTCATTTCAATCTTCTTCGTTATTCGTATGTATTTGATCCCCTAATCTCTTGCTTTTTCAAACACTTTCAGTCTTACTACTTAATACATAGGATTCAGGTTCCCTCAACATGCTTAGACAACCTGCTTTTGTGCTATGATATTTCTTATAGTATTATGCTAAGAATAGTCGAGTTCCAGGTGATATTTTAGTATTGAAATAGATACTCATATTTCGGCATTTCGGTAAGCATTTACATACACTAAATAGGGAAAAATTAGACGGTGATTAACAACCAACAGAAACATATGCTGTTATGATTTGAAATTTGCATGCTTTTTGATTGATTATTATGAATACAGTTATGTGATGGTTAAGACGTGATTCCATATCTGTAATTACGCAAACATAGTGAGTGCCAAACCTGTATATATACCTTGTATTTGGCAATGACTCCCTGTTTGATGCTTGACTGATGATAGTCGTAATAAGAAGAGATTGTGTATGCGGTCGTTTACCTGAGAAAACCAAAGCTTATTGCCTTTTCTGATTATTGTGGGTGATTTGAATGTGGTTGGGGATTTATGTGTATGTGTGATATTGGCTTGTGGTGCGGGTTATGCTATTGTAATGAGCGTTCTCTGTTTGGGCTGCTATTTGTATTGTGTGTTTTTCCTTTTGCACAAATGCTTAATGTACGTATCTCTCCTCCTCCTGGTATGATCTGCTGGTTGCTTCTTATAGCTGATTGAAGTTATTGTAGAAAATCCCTTCAGTTGCTCATAATCACCACTTTGATTTTCACCAAAAAAAAAAAACTGCCTGTGACTGCTGCCATTTTATGATTGAAATAACTCTGACTATTCTCATTTAAGACTGAAAATGATCACAATTTATGCTAAATGTGTAACTGAAAGGAGGGCTGCTGATAACTATCATTCTATGCTTATCTGCCTTTTATTTTCTGATTATTTGCCTTTAGAAATACTTATCACTGCTGCTTAATAATAATGTTTGTAACTGAAACTAGCATATTCCAATAGGCAGCCATCTAACGTGTATTTCTCTTGAAATTTTGGTTGGTTTAGAATGAGTTAGCAACTATCAACCTGGTTCACCTAAAACCGATATCCTAGTGGGACCAATTCACAACTTAAGTGGAACTAACTGAATCAAAAGTGCCATGTATGATTGCATAGCTTATATCTAAGCAATGTTGAGATTCATTATGAATGTATGCAGGTATGTATCAAATTGCGGTATGTTTTGCTTCTGTGTAGCTGACTCTGAATATGACTTGAGAGAAGGATCTGAACAATACCAATTTATTGATCTTTTCAGCTCATCACGTGCTTGGATATTCCTCTGAGTGTGACCTGGAATGTTGCTAATACTCCTCTTCTTTCTATTGCCAAACCAGATAAATTCATTGTTATAAAGAGTCGTTATATACAGTTCTGGATCCAACATTATATACCTCATGTAAAGGATAATATGCCTATGGAACACTTTACTTTATTTCTTCTTTTTTGTTATGGTTGACCATTAAAACAGCTTTATCAAAGATCATGCAGAGATAGAAATGCTATCAATTATTATTACTTAAGTTCACCAACCATATCATGAATAACTTAAGCAAACCTTAAATGATTATTGCTTTTAAAATATGTTCCAATATGTACCAAAAACGTGCATTCATAAGTTATCGAGTTGCTATTATCCACACCTCTCTTCGCCGCATTACGGAATGCCTTACAACATATAACACATACCAAAGAAAGTTGTCCGGTAGGACAAAATTGAGTGTTCACAGCTGCCCCTCTTTACTTGTTGCTTACTTGATAGCAAACAAACTGATGTTTGTGTGTTATCGTAGGAAGTAATTAGTAAAGAAATGAACATTAATTTTGTCAAAACCCAAACAATGGATATACAGGGCTTAAGACACAAAAAAAAAAAAAATTTGCGAGCTCTCAGTGGCTCGAGACAAAAAAAATAAATTTGCGAGCTCTTAGGGCTCGAGACATAAAAACAAATTTGCGAGCTCTCAGTGGCTCAAGACAGAGAATAAATTTGCGAGCTCTCAGTGGCTCGAGACATAAAAATAAATTTGCGAGCTCTCAGTGGCTCGAGACATAAAAATAAATTTGCGAGCTCTCAGTGGCTCGAGACAGAAAATAAATTTGCGAGCTCTCAGTGGCTCGAGACAGAAAATAAATTTGCGAGCTCTCAGTGGCTCGAGACATAAAAATAAATTTGCGAGCTCTCAGTGGCTCGAGACAGAAAATAAATTTGCGAGCTCTCAGTGGCTCGAGACATAAAAATAAATTTGCGAGCTCTCAGTGGCTCGAGACATAAAAATAAATTTGCGAGCTCTCAGTGGCTCGAGACAGAAAATAAATTTGCGAGCTCTCAGTGGCTCGAGACATAAAAATAAATTTGCGAGCTCTCAGTGGCTCGAGACAGAAAATAAATTTGCGAGCTCTCAGTGGCTCGAGACATAAAAATAAATTTGCGGGCTCTCAGTGGCTCGAGACAGAAAATAAATTTGCGAGCTCTCAGTGGCTCGAGACATAAAAATAAATTTGCGAGCTCTCAGTGGCTCGAAACAAGATGAAAATACAACCTATTTAGCTGACATTAGGCTAAGGGACCATGACAGTTGATTATAACTGGTCTACCCTTTTACCCACTAAGGTCTAAAGTTTTTTTTGTTTTTTTCTATGAATGTATGTTATGAATGAATGCATGGTATGAATGAACTAAATGGTTGAAATACGTGTATGGAATGCGTATTAATTCGGTAATCTCCTATGAGATTCATTTTACAAATTTTTGCTTTCTCGCTTTATTAAGTGTCACAATCATTGCCTTTGGTTTAAGACACCTTTACATTTTTGGAATGAATAGCCGCAACTTCGGGCGATGATCTATAAGTCGCTAGCGTGTGCCATTACTTTGTTTTTTAGTCGACTATCATAAAAGGTTGTTTTATTGTTCATCAATATGATTTACATAAACATAGTCATGCATGGAGGGAATAAGGTATGATGGGGGAGTGGAAAAATTTCGGGAAAGTGTATATGACATCTCTTTCAATTATCTATACAAGAATGACAACACTAATTTTCGCTTGTTGATTTCCAACCGGATTTTTGAGTCCTTCAAAAAATCTGCCCCAGTATTTCTCCAAAGTTACTACCGATTGATGACACCACCGAATTCTCGGTCCAGGAGTTTAAAGAATAACTGTCCGATAAACTGCCCCAGTATCTTGCTCGCCCATGTCGAAGCTCCAGCTTTACGCTCAAAGGATTTTAAGATCATTGCTAAGAATTTACTGGAGGAAAGTGTTTCATCCAATGATTTATGCCCCAGTATCCTGTTTTGAAAACCCATATTTTTAGTGATGCACATGCATCGCCTTTTCTGATTGGGGTGACCTCCTTCTTTATATTCCCTAACTTTTGCTTAGGCCGCCCTTCCGGGTTTTCGACCTAACGGGTCATATTTTCTTCATTTTTTTTTATTCGTTAGGAACTTCAATGTAATGATCACTTAGTGTTCGTTTGATAGTAAGAATGCATTTAGAAATTTGTGTTTTTCGGAGTCAGTTTGCTTTTTTTACCCTAGTGTGATCCCAAACGATCTATTCCTCAACAAGGACTTTTATGGCTTGAATTGTGGCCTGGCGGAATAGTTTTTTTCAAGAAAATAGGTATAACGGCTCAAAATGTGTTTCCCTTCCCCCTTCATCTCCTTTTCTCCAATATCCTACATCCAATTATTCCTCTCTTTGACTTTTACTGTTTTGCTTTTTTTTTCATTGTGAGCGAGAGTCTGGTGTGTCTTCGTCCTAACTTTTGCTTAAAGCACGTCATGAGCTTTAGCGGAATTTTTCTTTGGGACTTTCTTTCATTCATGGAATTCCTAGGCTCTCACTCTCTTAGTCTGTAGCTACATTTTGATCTTTTTGAGGAATATTGGAAAGCTACCCTTCCCTGGTTACAGATATTTTTACGGGTTCATTTAGAATGGATCTCCTTTCCTGACGTCTAGGCTCGAAAGGGGTAACTAGGGATATCTTCCATGGTGTTTGGGGATTACAAAGAAGCCTTATATCATTGGAAATAGTCATTTGGGGTTCACACTTTATGGGAATTTTCCTACATCATTCTCCATTTTAATTTTTAAAACATGCATGAAAAATGGTGATTATGATCATTACATCGAAATTTCTAAGGAAAATGTTTTTTTTTTTTCTTTTTTTTCTTTTTTTTCTTTTTTTTCTTTTTTTTTTTAGGAAGCCGCCTTATGCATAATATTTCTTCACTGCATCAGAATTTACTGAAAGACGAAGGTCTTCACCATCCATGTTGGTTAGTATGAGAGCACCACCTGAGAAAGCCTTTTTTACCACATACGGGCCTTCATAGTTAGGAGTCCATTTCCCTCGGTGATCTTTCTGTATTGGCAATATCTTCTTAAGCACCAGGTCCCCTTCCTTGAACTCTCGAGGACGTACTTTTTTGGCATGAGCCCTCATAATCCTCCTTTGGTATAGTTGGCCATGACATATAGCCGCCAACCTTTTCCCTTCGATTAAATTCAACTGGTCATGTCGGGCTTGGACCTATTCTGCTTCTTCTAGCTCGGCTTCAGCCAGTACCCTCAATGAGGGAATCTCAACCTCTATCGGTAGAACTGCTTCCATCCCATAGACCAACGAGTAGGGTGTTGCCCCAGTTGATGTGCGGACCGAAGTTCGATATCCATGCAGTGCGAATGGCAACATCTCGTGCCAATCTCTATAGGTTACCACCATTTTCTGGACTATCTTTTTTATATTCTTATTGGCTGCTTCCACTGCTCCATTCATCTTAGGTCTATATGGTGAAGAAGTGTGATGCTTGATCTTGAACTCTTCACACATCTCCGTCATCATTTTGTTATTGAGGTTGGTGGCATTGTCTGTGATGATTTTCTGGGGTAACCCATAACGACAGATCAACTCCTTCTTCACAAACCGGAGCACTACTTTGCGAGTCACACTTGCATATGAATTCGCCTCAACCCATTTGGTGAAATAATCGATAGCAACAAGGATGAATCGATGTCCATTAGAAGCTTTGGGTTCAATGGGCCCAATAACATCCATTCCCCACATTGAAAAAGGCCACGGTGCTGATAATACATTGAGCTTGTTGGGGGGTGCATTGATGTTGTCGGCATATATCTGGCACTTGTGGCATTTACGGACGTGATCCCATCAATCCCCCTCCATCGTTAACCAAAAATATCCTGCTCTTAGGATTTTTCGAGCCATCGCACGCCCATTAGCATGGGTCCCAAACATACCCTCATGTATTTCCTCAATGATTTGTTCTGCCTCTTTGGCGTCTACACACCTCAACAAAACCATGTCGTGGTTCTTTTTGTATAGGATATTCTCACTAAGAAAGAAACCCATAGCTAGTCTCCGCAGAGTTCTCTTGTCATTATCTGTTGCTTCGGGAGGATACTCCTTGCTTTTTAAGTATGTCATTATGTCATGATACCAGGGATTTCCATCTGACTCTGATTCTATTGCACAACAGTATGCTGGCTGATCTTTACTAGCTATCCGGATAACCGGTACGCTATCTCCCTCTATCTGGAACATGGATGATAAAGTGGCCAAAGCATCTGCCAACTTATTATCTTCCCTCGGGATGTGGTAGAAATCTATCCGCTCAAACTGCTCAACCAGTTGTTGGATATAGTCTCTATAGGGTATCAACTTGTTATCTCTAGCCTCCCATTCTCCCTTAATCTGGTGAACAACTAGAGCTGAATCCCCGAACACTTCCAAAGATTTGATTTTTGTTTCTAGTGCTGCTTCCAAACCCAATGCACATGCTTCATATTCCGCCATGTTGTTTGTACAATCAAAGCACAACCTGGCGGTGAAGGGTATGAACTTGCCTTCCGGAGATATTAATACCGCTCCTATGCCATGACCCAGTATATTTGAAGCCCCATCAAATAATAGTGTCCATCCATTATCCCGTCTTTCGTTATCCGGAGATACCACCATAATTCCTTCATCGGGAAATTCTTCCTTCATCGAATCCTCTTTAGCTACCGGTTGGTTGGCCAGATAATCGGCAATGATACTTCCCTTTATGGCCTTCTGAGAGACATATACGATGTCATATTCAGATAGTAATACTTGCCATCTAGCAATTCTTCCTGTCAGAATAGGCTTCTCAAAGATATACTTGATTGGGTCCATCTTGGATATC